TTTTTATTCTGTTTGTATTTTTGCTTCTTATACTTTTTGCCAATACACTGTTGTTTTTATACTGTTTATATTTAGCTCTTTTTTCCCTTGCACTAGTTATGGATGGATGGATGGATAGATGGATAGATTTATAGTTATAGTTTACAGTATTTATTAACAAGTTACTGCCTCACAAGTTCCAGTTCTGTGTACTCCGGTAGCCAAGCAACAACATTTCGTTGCCAGATTCACTGTTGTGTTTTTGTGCAGTGACAATAAAGAACGTCTAAGTCTGTAATAAATGTGATCTTGAGACAGACTAGTTTGATTATGTCACTTTAAGCAACAGAAATTTAAACATGCATGTTTCACAGTTTTTTTTAAAGTTTTATAGATTAAATGGTGAACAATTAAGAAAATGATAAGATGGTTAATTAATTATTAAAATAATGGTTTATTTACATGTATAACTGTGTTTGTGACCAATAAAAAAAAAAAGACCTTGAATCCTTGAACCCTAATGCTTTGGCACAGATGCAACATCAGTCTTAAAACCTGAAACTGCAATCAAGTTTATGGAGTCCATAACTCTGGTGCATTGTTTTTTTGTTTGTTTTCTCTCCTCCAGGTTACACACCTGCCTTGGCTTGTGCCCCCAACAAAGATGTGGCAGACTGCCTAGCCCTCATCCTGGCCACCATGATGCCTGTGTCCCCCTGCACCCCGGCACCCACCCTCCCTTTCAGTGCCATTAACCACTACACTACCAGCCCCTCCAAGAGCGTCACGTTCGACAGCCTGCCCGTGCTGCGCGGCGAGCACAGCTCCTACTGCAGCTTCAACAACATCAGCCACCACGACGGCTTCTACAAGGACGAGGAGCTCAATGACTCGGATTCCGAGACGTACTGAGGGACGGGAGGGAAGTGATAAACACACACACACACACTGTGTCTTAAGAAGAAGAAGAAAAAAAAATCACCCACCGCAAGCTTGGGAGGGCAGAATGAGACACACAAGCCCCCACAGGAGCCTTAAGAGGTGCAGCAGGCTGGCCCACACTCATCCCGACCTCATCCAGCGCTAGGTGTCCTTCAAGCTGATACTGGACCTCAGTAACCACTGCTTTACCAACACTGACTTCTTGAGTGCTAAAAAACAAACAAAACTGTACTTGTTGGGCAAGATGGCAGCCTTTTTTTACGGCAATAACATGCTGAGGAGGTGTGGTTGCACTTCACAGAGAGCTAAACCAACAGGGACCAAAAGACATGGATGCATTTTAACCCAGTTTTAACTGTAAACAAGAATTTTTTTGGGAGGGGGGTGTTAGCGGAGATTTCGGGCTGGGGAGCAGTTTTCATTTGTTCCGCACACTACATCTGTCAGAATGCACTTGTCGAGTCTGTAAATCACACAGGGGGAAAAAATCATTTATTTTTTCAGATCAAAATTTTAATATACCTACGTTCATGTCTTAAACTCCTTATCCTCTAGAAAAGAAAATCTGATTTGCCGACCTGAGTCATTTCAAAAGATTTGATACATGCGCCAGGTTAAATATTAAGTTGATCGACCTTACCTTTGTATATTGACCTGTCCGTTGCGGTTTAGTCTTTTGAAGAATAAATTATTTGTGTACTTTTGGTTCCTTTTTTTTTTATGTGTTCATTTTGTGCCTTCATTAGTTACTAAGAAGAGATGGGTTTGTAGAGGCAGCTGTGAGGGAGAGTACAGTGATGCACACTAGGTAAGTATTTAAACACATGTGAGAAGCACTGATCCATTACTGAGGTATCGAGGCTCAGCTTTTTGTGAGGAGAAACACTGTAAACCAATGATAGGACGGCATTTGATTTTCTTCTGTCTGAATGATAATTTTGCTCTTATATTAGTCAATGTATGTTGACGAGTTTTGCTTGCTTTAACTTCGGGGGGAGAAAAAAAAAGAAAGAAAGAAACCACTCGATTGTACCATGATTCAAAAATTCCCAGTTTTCTCTGTTGAAAAATTTCTTTTAACTGGAAATATGTACAATACATTTGCTAGCTTCATTAGAACGGAAAAGTTTTTTTTTTCTTTTCCCTGCTTTTTTTTTTTCTTGAAGAGGAGTGAAACTAGCATGTATATAGAAATTATGACTGTGAATTCAAAGTTCCAATGAATTCTTTCAGTACTGAGATTGCTGTATATTTTATGAGTAATAAAGAAATGAGTTATTTAATAATGAACATGAGTCTTTTGTGGAGTGTTGCCTTTAATTCTGTTTAAATGTATGACAAAATAGTTTGATAGGCCTTTGAACAATGGACATTATGACACGCCACAGCGGGAAAGCACAGGTGTAGATCAGCCTAAGTTTTAGGTTCAGCCCGTGGTTTAGTGCCTGCTGGCTGCTGTCATTACATGCAAAGAGCTATAATTATTCTGATTAGCAACACTTAGGCTTTCACCGTTGCGTCATTTGAAAATGGCCAGTAAGATGTAAAGTTGCTGTTCTTCATGTGGTAAAAATGCTTATTTCATAACAGTAATGATTTAAACAATGGA